CCCCAAAGCACTGCAGAGGGCTGCAGGGATCTGCCCTTGTCCTTTGCCCACCCTTTACACCCCTCATGTCCCTGCCCTGCCCCTGTGTGCCCTCTGTGCCCTGGGTGGGTGCTCAGCACACCTGGGCACTGCAGGTGCCACTGCTGCCCACATCAGTCACCTGTCCTGCACAGCTGCACCCACTGGGGATGGGGCAATGGGCCACAGCCCCACTCCCAGCCACCACAAACTCTGTGCCTGCAGGATACAAGTCACCTTTTCTACTTTCTATTATTGAAAATATTTTTGTCATTATTAGAATTAAAATCACTATCAGCCTTTTTTATTTTCTCAGTTGTTACTTTTTGTATTCCTATTTTGCACCCTTGAATGTCCAGATTCCTTCTACTGAAAACCAAGTGGATTTTATAATACTGAATATGGTGGACTGTAAACTCCTACAGGTAACTTATTTTTTCATTTCTAATACATGCAATATGATAGATTACTATATATAAATACAATGTAAAGGAATTTATGTTCCTTGACATTGGCAAAGAAGGCAAAAGAGTGTTTTATGTGTCACATTTTGCAATATGCATATAATAAACTCTGTTGGAGAGAATGTATTGGTGAATCCTTTCTGAAACGGGGAAGTATCTGGTTGTGTGAAGGAGAGAATAAATCCACTGGAGATGTTCTTAATTTTATTTTTTGGTCAATAATTGCCACACCAGCAATGTCCGTCGTCCCCCCCCCCCCCACCCCCCCAGTATTCACGAACATTTTTTGGGGAACTGAGTGATGCCTCTAATTCTGCATCTTGTGAATCCTTGTCTGTACTTTCACTTGTAAAAGTTTTATGTCTGCATGGTCGCGCTGCTCTTCGATCCCTGGTTCAGTGGCCTGGTCAGTCATTCCTTTCTGTGGGGTGGGGGAAGCTGTGCCTTTCCCCGCACTCCCAAAACCAGTGGATCCTCTTCGGCAGCCTGCGGGATCAGCCCGGGCTGCTCTGGGCACGGAGTGGTGCCGGGGGCTTGGTGGGCTCTGGGTGATTTGGGGCACACGGCAGTGCCGTGCTCCCGGTGAGCTTTGAGCCCTGCTCCCGGTGGGTTTGGAGCTCTCGGTGAATTTTGAGCGCAGCACCGCCCTGCTCTCGGTGGGTTTGGAGCGCAGGGCAATGCTGTCCTCTGGCGTTTCCCGGCAGGATCGCCACCCGGCACGACTGGGGGCACTGGAGGCACTGGGGGCACTGGGGGCACTGGGAGCATTGGGAGCATTGGGGGCATTGGGGCACTGGGGGCACTGGGGGCACTGGGAGCACTGGGGGCACTGGGAGCACTGGGGGCACTGGGAGCGCTGGGAGCACTGGGAGCATTGGGGGCACTGGGAGCACTGGGGGCACTGGGAGCACTGGGAGCACTGGGAGCATTGGGGGCGCTGGGATCACTGTAGGCACTGGGATCACTGTAGGCACTGGGGGCACTGGGACAGGCTGCTGGGACAGGCTGCTGGCCTGGGCGCACAGCCAGACAGGCGCTGTCCCCTCGAACACCTGGGTTAGGGCTCTTTAATGCCTGACAATGATATTCATGAGGACTTTGCAGCGAATTCTCATACTTTGATTATGGTTCATTTTTGCCCTCATGCTAAGTGTAAGTCTTTGTTCTCTTGTCATGTGTTAGAAGCAGTTTTCATACTCCTCAGGCACGACAGAGAATATTCCTTTATTTAAACCCAAAAATTTCAGGTTTGAAATAGTTTTTGGAACGGTGGAGAAAAAAAACCACAAGGCAGCCGCTCTTACTTAATACAACTTAGAACATATTCCGGAAAAATGAAGGGATTGTCTTGGGTTTAGAATTGTGTTTCTGTGCTGAAGGCAGGGCAGGTGAGTACCCCTGGTGCATCGCACACAAAGCCAGAATTGGTTTCCCCATGGTGTCAGGGGGACATGGGCCCCACCCACCCTGCTCTGTCCCCACCTGGGCACAGTGCCATCCGGCAGAGTTCTGGAAATGGGTTTGTTCCACGGATTCTCGCTCAGAGCTGAGTGGCTGCAGCAGCACGGGCACTGCAGCTAAAATAGACTTGGCAGGTGTCCCGAAAGCAGCACAGAGGGGAGCTTGGCACAGCCAGAAATGAAGTGCCTATGAAATGATTCAAATCTACAACAATAATTCCTCTTGGTTAAAAAGCTTGGGATTTATTAACCTGAAGCATGGGTAAGGTCATTTGTCTAGGAAATCATTTGCTTCACAAAATATTGTTGAGGTTTAAAGACATTCAACCAGGCAGAACAAAGGCAAATTTTTTTGTTGCTTAATTTGGAAACTGCTGAGGGAAGGGCCTAGGCTGGCAGCAGATTGCCAAGGAGCAGAAGACTGGGAATGTGAGTGTGGAGGTGGGGCTTTGCCTTGGCTCTGCCAGCCGTGACCCCACGAGGCTCCAGAGTCAGCACCCACGGGTGTTTCCCAGCAGAGCTGTGCCCAGGAATAGCTGAGTGTCCTCTGATCCGGCAGCCAGAGGTCAGAACCTCCGCTGGGGCCCTGGGGGCAGCCAGGCCCTGCTGCCTTCCCCGGGGTGGAGAGGGCACAGCACCGGCCCTTCTGTGACCCAGATGTGCAAGGAGAAAGCTGGAGATGCTCTGCTGGGTTTCCTGAAGACATGTTGGTTTGCTCCATTTTGCACTTCTAAAAATTAGTGTATCTGTATTTGAGGCTCTGTCTTGACTAACTGTGCAGGTATGTTCCAGCTGATCCTCTCAGGACGAGACTATTGAACAAGTGCCTGTAAATAGAGCGAATAAGGGAAAATACACAACATTAAACTATCTCATCATGAGAGGTGGTTCCAGACCCCATGGCTGTGGCCAGACACGCCTGATGTTCACACAAAGTTAGTATATTAAGCAAAGCAACTGAAATGATAATTTTACCATGTTTACTTAGGTCTGTCAGAGAAAATACACCAGAGCAGCATTTCAAACAGCACAGGGGAATGGTGAGAGAAGGAGGGGGAAGTGAAAAGGGACGTGTCATCCAAGCCGGCTGGATTCGCTCTGGAAAGGCCTTCTTTGGATGTGTGAGGTGTGGGTGTGTCTGTCGGCTGTGTCCCTGCTGTGGCTGGGCAGATTTATTCTGTGTGTTCCAAGATGGCCCAGGGGCACCAGTTACTGGATTTGGGCTGTGCCAGGCAGCTCTGCAGGGACACCAGCCGACCTTCCTGAACGCCATCACCAGCCCGAAGGATGCTTCAAAGTGTCCTTTTCCTTCTGAAAATGAGTTCTGATTTCTCTGTCCTTGGGGACATCAGAACTTCCCTGTGTGCCTGCTCCTACCCTCAATATCTTCCCAAGGCAGCCCCGGAGTTTTGGCTTGCTGACCCCTCTCAATATGGCAATTGAAACAGAGTTCCACAAAAATGATACCAAGCACCAACTAAGTTGAGATTTTTTGTTGCTGTTTTTCTGCTTGGATTAACAGGAGCAAGGAAGCACAGAGCTGCTCATGGGAGCAGTCGTTTATCAGCCTTTCTGGCAAGTCTCTGCTTGACACAGCTGGGTCTCAGCCCTCTGAGCACACAGAGAATTCAGCTTCAGTCACAGCAGAGACACTGGGTGGATTCCATTGCATCAGGCCTGCTTCAGTCTGTCAGCACTTTGGGAAACCACAGGCTCTTTCCAGAAAGCACTGGTAAAAATAAACGTGTTATTTGTAGGTATTTGCATTGGGATGCATTTGGATCAGTATTTGCATGGGGAAGGGCGCAGCCAGCAGGTCAGGCAGTGATCCTGCCCCTTCTCCCGACCCTAGTGAGGCACATCCCGAGTGTGGGCCCAGGCTGGGCTCCTGAGGACAGGAAAGCCAAGGAGCCACTGGAGAGGGCCCAGAGAGGCCACGGAGCCCTTCTGGGACTGGAGCATCTCTGAGCTGAGGAGCGGCTCTGGGAGCGGGGCCTGCTCAGGCTGCAAAGGGAAGGCTGAGAGGGGATCCCACCGAGCCCTGCCAATGTCCCCGAGGGGATCCCACCGAGCCCCGCCAATGTCCCCGAGGGGATCCCACCGAGCCCCGCCAATGTCCCCGAGGGCTGCAGGGCCGGTGCCAGGGCCAGGACAGGGAGCACGGGCAGGAGCTGAGGCACAGCGAGTTCCAGCCCAGCTGAGCAAGAAAAGAACTCTGTGCATGGAGGGGCAGGGCCCTGGAGCAGCTGCCCAGGGAGGGGCGGGGGTCTCCCCATGCAGAGCCGTTCCGAGCCGTGCGGGACCCGCTCCCGTGTGCCCGGCCCCAGGTGAGCTGGGCTGGGGGAGCCCAGAGGCGCCACAGGCCCGGCAGCTCCCAAGGGAGCCGTTCCCGAGGGAGCCGTTCCCGAGGGAGCCGTTCCTGGGAAAGCCGTTCCTGAGGGAGCCGGAGCCGGGAGCGGCGGCCGGGGCGGGGCTGGGCTCAGCTGAGGGCCCCGCCCCGGTCCGGCCCCGCCCCGGTGGCCCCGCCCCGGTCCGGCCCCGCCCCGGTCCGGCCCCGCCCCGGTGTGGCCCCGCCCCGGTGTGGCCCCGCCCCGGTGTGGCCCCGCCCCGGTGGCCCCGCCCCGATGTGGCCCCGCCCCGGCGTGGCCCCGCCCCGGCGTGGCTCCGCCCCGGTCCGGCCCCGCCCCGGTCCGGCCCCGCCCCGGTCCGGCCCCGCCCCGGTCCGGCCCCGCCCCGGTCTGGCCCCGCCCCGGTGTGGCCCCGCCCCGGTGTGGCCCCGCCCCGGTGGCCCCGCCCCGGTGGCCCCGCCCCGGTGGCCCCGCCCCGGTGGCCCCGCGGGTGCCGGTGCGCGGCGTGGCCGCCAGGAGGCGCAAGGAGCCGGCCCCAGCCCGGCCCCGCCCTTCACGGGCAGGCCCCGCCCCTACCGGTCGCGCCCCCGCCCCGTCCCACGCACGTGCCCGGTAGCGGGGCGGGGCGGTGACGTCACGCCCGGTGGCGGGGCGGGGCGGTGACGTCACGCCCGGCGGCGGGCGCCCCGTGAGGTCACGGCGCGGCCCGGCCCGGCCCAGCGGCGCCGCCGGCGGGAGCGGCGGGAGCATGGCCGAGCCCGGAGCGGCGGCGGGGGACGCGGCGGGGGCGCCGCCGCCGCGGGTGGGCGCGTGGGTGCCGGTGCTGGTGGAGCAGATGGTGAACGACACGCTGGTGGTGACGCTGAGCTGCGGGGAGCGCCGCTTCACCGGCGTGCTGCTGGACTGCTCCAAGAGGTGCGGCCGGGATGGGGCACCGGGACGGCGGCGGGGAGCGGGGCCGCGCCGCCCCCGCGCCCTTTGTTCGGCCGGGCGGGACAAAGCGGCGGGGTCGGGACCGGCCCGGGCACAAAGCGGCGGGGGCGGAGCGGAGCCCCCGGGCCGGCCGCACCGGCTGCGGCCCGCACGTGGCCCCGGGCCGGACCCCGGCCCTTCCGGCCGCCCGCTGCCCTCGCCGCCCCCTCTCCCCCCGCCGAGCCCCCACGTGCCCGGCACGGCCCCGGGGCCGGGCGGCGGTGCCGGCGGTGCTACCGGGCGTCCCGCGGGCTGTGGCCGCTGCCGCCCCGGCCCTGGCGCTGCCCGAGCTCTGCGGGGCCCGCGGGCTGCGGCTCCGCTCGGCGGGACCTCGTGCTCGCACCTGCCCCGGCTCTGGGGCGGCTGAGCTCGCAGCGGGGCAGGGCAGGCTCTCCGGGGCTGGTAAGGCTCTCTGGGGCCGGTAAGGCTCTCCGGGGCCGGTAAGGCTCTCCGGGGCCGGTAAGGCTCTCCGGGGCCGGTAAGGCTCTCTGGGGCCGGTAAGGCTCTCCGGGACACGGCCGGCTCTCCGGAGCACGGCCGGCTCTCCGGGGCTGTGCGCGGTGCTGCGCCGTGTTGCTGTGAGAAGCAGGTTTGGTGCTGCGTGGGAGCACAGCAGCCTCACCTCTCTGATCCATCCTACGAGATGGAGCAGGAGTTCTCAGCTTCATTTTTGTCCTTTATTTAGTTTCACGTGGTATCCCGGAAAATTGGAGTCAGATTTTCAAAGGCATTCGGGCACCTAATGCTGTGTAGAGTCCATAAACCCACCCTGGAGCCTGATCCCAGTAGGAGCGGTTGGTGTCCCTCGAGCTCCCCAAACCAGCTTTCTGCCTTCTCACATTTCAGTTGTCTTCCTCTGCAGTGACAATTCTTTCCCCTGTTTTTTCTCCACCCTAACCTTTCTCGATTATTTTTCTTCCTCGTTTCCTCCCTGTGCTCCTAGCGGGTCCAAGAGCCAGCCAGCTGGGCGTTTTTCGCAGGCTGTTGGGCATCTGTGCGGGCGGTGCTGCCGCAGCCCTGTCGGTGGTGACCCTGCTGAGTGCTGGGGAGGGCAGAGGAGAGGATGCCCTCCGAGCACTGGGGCTGTCCCTGCTGCTCAGGGCTCGATCTTTGGCCGTCCCCTGGCCGCATGCTGCCCATGGTGGCGCCGAGCGCTGTGCTGACCATGGAGGGGTGGTGGCCAGCACCCTACAGCAGAGCACGGGAGTCGGCCCGGCAGCGACTGGAAGGTGAAGGTCAGGATGTGTCCCAAAGGCAGCAGGAATTTATCCACTTGGTGCTGAGCTTGGAGTGCCTGCAGTGGGTGCCTGGCAGAGCTGTTTCTCCTCCTGCTGCTGCCTGGCTGATGGAGCCGTGTCCCACCAGCTTGTCCCTGTGCAGGGGTCCCTCATGTACCCCCTGGCAGTGAGATGGGGCTGGCAGGAGAGGAGCCACCAGAGCAGGTTGTTAGACCTGCATGGAAAGAGGAGATTACTTCAAAAAGGAAGGAGGGCCAGTATGGTGATTCTTTGTGGTTTAAAGTGGTTTCAGCATCACACAGTAGATGAATGTGTTTTACTTAGTTGTAGCTGCTCCATCTCTGAAAGTGTTCGAGGTCAGCTTGGACGGGGCTTGGAGCAGTTTGTCTAGTGAAGGAGACCCCAGCCCAGGGCAGGAGAATTGGAATTGGATGATTTTTAAGGTCCCTTCTAACTCAGACAATCCGTAATGCCGTGTTTACTTGTCCTAAGCTGTAGTGAGTGCTGTGGGGAGCTGAGCAGGAGGAAGGCCTGCCACTTGAGCACCCAGGGCACCCTGGCCATCCAGGTCCCGCCTGGACGCCTCTGGTGTTTTGCCACAAAGGTTAGAACCCTGAACTGCCCGTCCGGGTTTGCAAGGGCTCAGCCCATGGCCCGCAGGAGTGCCTGTGCCCTATCTGTGCCTGTGCCCTATCTGTGCCTGTGCCCTTTCTTTGCCTGTGCCCGTGCCCTGTCTGCCTGTGCCCGTCCTCTGCCTGTGCCCTGCTCATGCTCTGACTGTCCCCATCCCCTGCCCTGCCTGTGCCCTGCCTGCCCCCGTGCCTTTACGAATGGCGGTTGTAGGGAACACTCACGCCTGACCTTCCAGCTGCTGGGGAATTATTTGCAGAAAAAAGCGCTCGTGTCCCTCCTCTGCGTGTCCCTTCCTGCCCCGGCCTGGATGATGCAGCAGCACCAGGGCCTGCCCAGTGACTGGCAATTATTTGCTTACAATAAACTGCCTCTGCTCAAAGTGAGCTCCATAGGGTACATGCCCAAGTAGAGATTTAAATGCTGTTACAGTCTTCTGATAACAAAATTTAATAGTTTTGCTGCAATTGAGCTTTCTTTAAAAGTTGGGGTTTAATTGTGCAGGGGTATAAATAAAGGAGGATGGCTTCTCCCGTACCAGGCAGAAACTGGATTGAGGTAACCAAGTCCGGTTGGCTGCAGCTGCCCCAGAAAGGGGGATTACAAGCAGGGTGAAATCCCATCAGCAGTATTTCCTGCTGCTTTAATCACAGAATCCCAGAATGGCGTGGATTGAAAGGGACCGCAAAGCTCATCCTGTTTCACCCTTGCCATGGCAGGGACACCTCCCACTGCCCCAGGAGCTCCAACCCCAGTGTCCAGCCTGGCCTTGGGCACTGCCAGGGATCCAGGGGTGCCACAGCTGCTCTGGGCACCTGTGCCAGGGCTGCCCACCCTCCCCCTTGTTGAAAGGAACAATTCTGGGCAGTGGTCTGGGCTCTGTGGGCACTTCCATGGCACGGAGGCTCTGTCCAGCCCTGTGGGGTTACAGGGTGCTGGTACATCAGTGCTGCAGGCACAAACCATCCTGAGAGTGAGCGTTTGGGTGCTCCACTTCTGCCAGGCAAGGAGCTCCGTGCCTCTCTGGAGGTTCAGTGACCTGAACGGGGGAGTGGGCTTGTGTCTACATGAGGAGCAGTTTTCTGTTGTGACCAAGTCATGCAATCTCACTGCATAAAATAACCGTAATTTATAGCCATCATCTCATTCAGAAATGGTCTCACTGTGATTATGAATGGTGCTGACACCTCTGTCTGGCTGTACAGACTGTACTGGCTTTCTGGGTTGTCTGTTCAAGACACCTACATTCTTGGTTGTCTCTGTTTAAAAAAAGCCTCTTGGAACAAAAATATTTTGTTCCAAATTATGTGATTTCAACAGCTTAATCCTTTCCCAGTTAAACTGGCATTTAACAGCAAGTTGTTGCACTTTTTCAGTAATGGGGAAGGATTGTGGAGGCTTCTCTCCATCGGGAAGCCCATGGCAGTGGCTCTGTGCTGCTCTTGGTGAGAGGTGTGCCACAGAGTGGATGCCTTCAGCTCCTCTTCAGTGCCCTCTGCTAACACTTACTGAAGTGTCCCCCTCTGTGATACCACCAAGACACTCCTCCCTTGCCTCAGGAAGGGTCCTTCCTTCTGGTGGTTAGAAAGAAAGCAATGGCTGGCACGGAGGGGAATGGGACTGTAGCATCCAAAACCCACTGGTATTTGGTCTGTACCTGTTCTCTGTTGCTTTGTCTCTTCTTTGTGGCTCTCCTATGTAAGTAACATTTTGTTATTATTAAGAAAGTCCATGTGCTTCACTGATGGTGTGTTTGCTGCAGAAGTGTCTCTGCAAAGCCAAGGTAGGGGGCTTTGTCCAGTCAGAGTCAGCGTTTCAGGGCAGAATCTGCCCCAGTGCTGTTAGTGTAATACTTCTAATGCCAGGCCAAGGGCATCAATTAATACATTTTAGAGACAAGAATTGTGGTTGTGAGTTTTAGCATTTCAGAGGATTTGCTTTTGCCAATATCCAGGCAAGGTGCTGTGTCTGAGCCTTGGTGGCCTGTAAGGAGACCTGGCATTGAAGGACAGAGCATCATCATTGTTAACCCTGCTGTTCCGAAGGAGTCGTGGGTGCCTTACCTTACCAAATACAGCTGAATATGGAGAGACCAGGGAAGAGGAGCAGAGCTGTGTCTCGGTGGATCTGTGCAAGTAATCCACCCCATTCAAGGTGTTCAGGTTTAGAATGAAAAACTGGAAAATCAGCCCTGCATCTACAGTGAGAAGAGGGCAGTTTCATAGCTCTCTAGGCTAATCTGGATCACATCCCTCCTCCGGCCTTGCCAGCGTGCCTATGCAGCAAACTGATTTGTGGGATAAAACTTACAACTTCTTTGAGCAAAACTTTGTGCAAAGAGTTCATAGAAATACAGGTTTTGATCCCTCTGCCTTTTCTGGGAGAAGGGTAGAGCACCTTGCCAGATGTCTGCACTGCTGTTATTTTTTTCAGTGGCAGAACTGGCTGCGTGATTTTAAAAGTCACGAGAAAGCGTTGAGTTCTCAGTGCTGAGGTTGTGGGATGGCGGGATCGTTTGGGTTCCCAGAGCAGCGCCATGCAAAGCTCCTGACTCCGTTTCTTTCCCTCCCTGTCCTTCTTGCCCCAATTTAGGTCCGGATTGTTCTGCCTGCCGTCCTCCTTCCCCAAGCACGAGGAGCCCCGCTCCGGCGCCTGCGCTAACGGAGCTGCTGACGGCGAGGTGTGGGCGCAGGGCGAGCCGGAGCCGCGGCCCGCGGGCCACGCGCCCGCCAAGGGCAGCGCCGAGGAGCCGCTGCCGCCGCTGCTGCCGGCCCAGGGCGGCCTGCCGCCCTTCCCTCCCTACTTCGAGGGAGCCCCGTTCCCCCGGCCGCTGTGGCTGCGGCACACCTACCACCAGTGGGTCCCGCAGCCGCCGCCACGGACTATAAAGAGGACGAGGAGGCGTTTGTCGCGCAACAGGGACCCGGGCAGGCTCATCATGAGCACCATCAGGCTGCGGCCCAGGCAGGTGCTCTGCGAGAAGTGCAAGAACACGCTGAACCCCGAGGATGCCGGCGCGCCGCGGCAGAACGCCAAGACCAGGAGGAAGCTGAGCATTCAGGACAAGGAGCAGAAAAAGCACAGTGACTCTGACTACGTGGAGAAAAGGAACAAAAGAGAGAAGAGGGAGGATGACAAGTTTTCTGGGGAGCTGGTGCATCGAACTCCAGTTATAAAAATATCCTACAGTACTCCACAAGGGAAAGGTGAAGTGGTAAAAATCCCTTCCCGGGTTCATGGCTCAGTCAAACCGTTCTGTCCGGAGCGAGTGCTGCAGAACGGAGCCGGGGACCAAGAGGAGAGCGGGGACTCTGAACGGTGTCGAGAAACCAAATGTTTAATGGACAAGTCAGCAGGCAGCCAGCTTGCTTCCATTCCAAAACTGAAGCTCACGCGGCCAGTGCATTCCAGTGTGGATGTCCCACCCCCAAAGATACGGCTGAAGCCCCATCGCATCAACGATGGTCAGAGTGTTTCAATTTATAAGGCAGAACTGATTGACGAAATCAATGTCCTCCAGAACAGCGGGGAGTCCAATCCCAGCGTGTTTTACAATGATGAGTCCGCTGACAGAAGCTTGGCTGAGATATCTTCAGGCAGTTCAGGTGAAGATGATGACTTCAAAAGATTTCCCCAGGGTAAAGATGGACATGATAACTTGGCTTTCCTCATGAATTACCGTAAAAGAAAAGCAGATTCTTCTAGTTTATCGGTGTGTAGCAATGACAGTCTAGATGAATCCAAGTCTTCTAGTTCAGAAGTGACATCACCAGAACTGTGTGACTTTTTGCCTGGTGATGATGCCTCCGTCTCTTCATCTTCAAAAGATGAGCGTAAAATTGTGCCACCACTGACAGTCAGACTGCACACCCAGAGTGTGTCTAAATGTGTTACAGAAGATGGAAGGACTGTTTCAGTGGGGGACATTGTCTGGGGTAAAATTCACGGGTTTCCGTGGTGGCCAGCACGTGTTCTTGACATAAACCTCAGCCAGAAGGAAAACGGGGAACCTTCGTGGCGAGAAGCTAAAGTGTCATGGTTTGGTTCTCCGACGACCTCGTTCTTGTCGGTTTCAAAACTCTCTCCTTTCTCGGAATTTTTCAAACTGAGGTTTAATCGCAAGAAGAAGGGCATGTACCGGAAAGCAATCACGGAAGCTGCGAAGGCAGTCAAGCACCTGACTCCAGAAATACGAGATCTCTTAACACAGTTTGAGACATAACTTTGCCTCCAGTATCAGGTGAGTGATTGCTACACTAACACTTGCCATGTAGAGCCTCCCAATGCTTTTTTAATCTGTATTCCACTGTTTGTTTGCATTTGTTTTTCTGAGATTGGCAACTGTGACATTTACGTGCTCGGCTCTTAGTTGGTGGGGGTAATTTCAGAGGTGGTGAGAAGCTTAATTCCAAACTCTTTTGGGGACCATGGGAATTGGAGTCCCTGTTCCCAGAGGGAAATGCAGGCCAGGCAGGGCACTGTGAGGAAGCAGCCTGTTCAAAGAACTGATAAACCTGTAGCTGTGTGCCTGGAAGACTGACAGCTCCTAGGCTTTCAGTTTCCTTGGGTCAAAGAACTAAAACTTTCACTGGAATTAAGGTGACATTTTTCATATGTATGTGCTGGTGCCCAGCAATTACCTGTAACAGTTTAGGACCCCTTTGCTCCCCTCCTTTGGTTTGGATTTCTTAAAAAGGCCCTTTATGGCTCCTCAGAATGATTGTACCAAAAACTGTCTTTGTACAGCAGTATTTCAGTATCTCACACAATACTTGGGGTTTGGTTTGTACCTAAATTTTCACTGCTTCTCTGGGGAATGGCCTGGATCAAATGAAATTCCTTTGGGCTTCACATCTGTGTGAGGACATTAGGTGGGAATGAAATCGTTAGAGCTGATTCTTCGTAATGGATGGGTTTCCCTTTCTCATCAGTCTGCCTGAGATGAAAATTTGGTACCTAAAAATACAGGATGTGGCATGACTGGGAATACAAGTTCCTGGGAAAATCCAGTGACTTGGATGAAACCTGGAATCATTTCACAACCTTTCAGTCATCGCTGTCCAGACAAGGGCTCAGCTGTGATGGTATTAGACAAGCAGGGGATTTAAGTTTTTGTTGAAAACCAGGGGTGTCACTGGGAAGAGCCTTGTGTCAAAGACCATGCTTTGTGTAGTGTGGTTTGTTACGTTGTCCCCTGAATGCTCTGCTCTGTTTCATGCTTGAAGGACTCTGTGTGAGCAAGCCAGCGCTGCTCCTCTGGGCTCTCTTCATTATCTGAACTGTCATAATGCAGTGCGACTGGGATGGTCAGTGCTCATGTAATCCTGATGGGAAAATTGGACTTTTTTCACACCCTCTGTCATGGGACTTCACCCCTTGCTGGAGTGTGATGAAGGACCTGCTTTGCCTGGGTTATGGCTCCATCTCAGCAAGCCTGGCTGGAGTAAATAACCAGAGCATGGCATACTCATGCTGTGTACTCAGGGTGTCTGGACAACTGCAGCAGCAACACTTCAGCTTCCTTCTTGATCTTGCCCATAGAGCTGCTGCTTAACTCTGGCTAAGGACTTTATTATATCAAGAGTGTTTGGATTGGACCCAAATTCCTATTAGCTAGATCAGGAGTATAAATAAACCTGCTGCCCAGAATGTACTGTCCTTGCCAGTGGAAGAGTCCTGGCCAATCCATGGCTCCTGTCTGGACAGTGCTCTGGTTAAAGGAGCAGCAAACTTCATCCTCTGAGCTGTCTTCGCTGTGTGAGCGAGCAGTTATGGACTAAGGTGATGAGTGTCACCATCACTCCTGCCATCTGTCCCTGCCCTTGTGGCTCCGGGGCGGCTGGCACAGCCCAGCTGCAGGAGAGGGGACAGCTCGAGGGAGCACCTGGTGCTCAGATCAAACATTGACTGTGCCTGTCAGCCCACGGGGAGTGGGAGAGCTGTGGCCAAGCGGAGTCCTGGGCCCAGAGCAGAACCCAGAACAGGGGGATGCTTGCTCCCTGCACGCCGGCCCGCAGAGAACGCTGGCTGCTGGCCCCAGCAGGGCTGGCCAGGATGGGGGCACGGGCTGCAGGGCAGGGCCTCCAGGAGGAGAGGAGCCCTTGCTCCAGAGACACAGTGGGGTCTGAGCTACAGGTACAGGTCTGTAAATGGGGGAACGAAGAACATCTGGAGCACATGTAGGTAAGCAAATGATGGATGTGATGGGATGGCCTGGATTAGACCAAAACTTTCCTTCCCTCTGTGCTCTTCAGCCAAACCTCTGCATGTGTATATGGGTATATACGTTTAGCAGATATTTTTTTGTTTTGTTGGCCTCCTTCAGCTGCCTTTCCACAGGGGATTTCCTGCTTTACATGTCTGAGCTGAGCTGCCAGCGCAGTCTGCCAGGCTGAAGACAGCATGACTGTTGGATAAAGAACTGCAAAACTAGAAAAGCAGAACTACACAACTGCCTGTGTTCCTTATCACATTTACCTAGTTTCCCAACTAGATCAGCATGTCTGGAGTTTTGGTACATCACTTAAAAAACTGCTCATTATTTCAGAGAATTGTCTGTACCTAATTCTCTCCTTGCAGGAGCATTGAATTTTGTTGCTTTCCTTGATTTCCCACAAGGTAGAACTGAAACATTTCCTTCAGTGCTCATTCACTGTCCTTTCCCGAAGGATAGCGTGAAAGGGTTTGGGCAGGAAGGGACCCTGAAGTCCATCCCGTTCCATCCCCTGCCATGGGCAGGGACACCTTCCACTATCCCAGGTGGCTCCAAGCCCCATCCAGCCTGGCCTTGGCACTGCCAGGGATCCAGGGGCAGCCACAGCTGCCCTGGGTAACCTGGTAATATTTCATGGAGCACTGTAAAATCCATCATGCGGGGCTTCTCCAGCAGTGGCACAAAGGTTTTTGTCATCAGGAGTCCATGAAGTGGCTTCAGCACTGACACCACTCATGCTAATCCTGGCCACAGCAGAAGTTTCTCACTGGTGACCCTTTTTATTGTAAAGATTTCTGTCTTCTGGCATGTGATGTGTTCTGCAGAGGGCAGTTACTGGAAAAATGTACAAACACTGCAGGTCATTTGTGGATGCAGAAAACTGGAAAAATTGGATTTTTTTTTTTTCTTTTAACTTGGTTTGAGTTGGAAAAGCTGGTAGGATCACTTCTTTTGTTACTGCTTTGTCCTTAGGGTTTCTTTGCAAGGAAAGTACTAGTCAGGTAATGACAGGGTTTTAATTAAGTAAAACAAGTTTCTGGAAAAACAGCAGGCAGAATAGCAGCCTGTAGAACTCAGACTTGTAAGACTTGGTTTAAAGAAGTGCCAGGAGAGACATGTGCACTCAGCATCTTCTGGGGCTGCTCTGTAGCTCCCCTGGCATGTGGCACCAGGAGCCAGCTCAAGGCACAAGGATAGCAGTTGCCCCTGGCTTGGAGTGACAGATCTTTGTCTCTCCCGTAAGGAAAGCCCACCTGAGGCTGTGGAGGGGGAGCCGGGACCCCTGGGCTGGTGCCACACAGGATTTATTGGGAATGAGCCATGGCTGTGGCTGCTGCCTCAGCTGTGCCGTGGGCTGGGGCACAGGAGGGAGGGAGAGCTGTGCTTCCCAAGGCCTCCCTCCCTTCCCTGCTCCAGGAATGCATGCTGTGTGGGATCAGGGCTTTGAGGAACATGTGTTGCTCCAGCCCTGCTGTGTGGGGAGGCTGTCCCTGCAGGGGACATGATCATCCTGAGCAGCTCCTCAAGGCAGATGCCCTCTCCCTGCTCACAGACATGCAGTAAACCTCTAGTAAAAACTGCTGGTAGGTTTTCATCCACATCTCTGCATGAAACAAGTTTACAAGATATATATTCCTCTCCTTTTTCAGTCTGGAAAATCCTTTATTCTTCCTCTCTCTCCCCTGTCCCCAGGCTGTGACTGTGGAACCATTAAACTTGCAGATGCTGAAGGCTTTTATTTTAAGTGCTGTGAGCTTAATAGACCCTCAGTGTCAGTACATCAAGCCATCCATCACACTGCTGCTGTGTGCAGCAAGCTCAGAGCTGGCTGCATGCTCACCGTCTATAGAAACCACTAATATAAAACCTGGAATATCACGTTGTGACTTCACCTTCAAAGGTCTTTGGGGCTCTGTGTGTCCATCCAGCCAGTGCTGCTGCCAGCAGCTTGTGAAACAGCATAAATCACTCCTCTTTTCCTCTTACCTCTTCTCTTCTGCTCTACCAGGAGAGTAGAGCCTCCTCTCTTCTGCTTACCTTGCTATAAAGTGATGGGAATGATTGGTGTGATAGCTGTATTTTCTAACACTTCTGCCTGGTCACATGGAATATTTCAGCACAGAAGACGAATGCTGGAGATTTTTCTTGGCCTGCTTTCTAGATGCTCCAGTCCACTAAAACCAGGCATCCAACTTAATTACTGTTTCACAGCCTTCCTGCTTGGAAGTGAGCGTCTCTGCATGCTAATACCAGCTGGGAGCAGAAGTGCAGAACAGACTGCTGCATTTTTGTGTGCCCAGCGCCAACGGCTGGAACTGCACGTGGGTGCCAGCCTGCTGATCTGCAAGTGCCCGCTGTGCCCAGGGGCTGCCCTGGGAGACACCCAGCTCAGTGCTGCCCTGTCCTGCAGCCATGGCCCCTCTCACCCGCTCTGCTCCCAGGGGTTTTCTTTGGAAATGCCACCGGGCCGTACATCGGGCTATTTCTGACTGCACCTGCGCCCGTGCCCAGCAAGGCACTCGGGTTTCAGAGCTGGAACTCCAGCTGCTGGGGGAGACTGCATCCCCCAAGGGCTCAGCACCTCCTGTGGCAGCACTGCGAGCTGCTCCTGGGCTCCCAAGGGCTCAGCACCTCCCTGGGCAGCACAGCGAGCTGCTCCCAAGGGCTCAGCACCTCCCTGGGGAGCACTGCAAGCTGCTCCCGGGCTCCCAAGGGCTCAGCACCTCCCTTGGCAGCACTGCGAGCTGCTCCTGGGCTCCCAAGGGCTCAGCACCTCCCTGGGCAGCACAGCGAGCTGCTCCCGGGCTCCCAAGGGCTCAGCACCTCCCTTGGGAGCAGGGTGGGAGCCAAGGGCCACCCAAGGGAGTTCTCTGGCGTCCCAGGCAGGGCTTGGAGTTCGTCCTGCCCCCGTGGTGGTTGAGCAGCATTTGTACAGTATTGAGCACCTGCAAGGTGCACTTACAGAAAGGCTACTTTCCAAAAAGGAATAGGGGATTTTGGGAAACTTGGTGTAGCTCTGTGTAGGGAAGGGTGGGTGTGCTCTGCAGGTGAGGAGCAAACAGCATCTTTACACAGCAGCCAGGATCTTCACACTGCATGTGCCATGCAGCTGCTTGACTCTGGGGCTGCTTGGCACAATGGGTGACACAAAGTGTACAATCACAGACGGGTTTGGGTTGGAAGATACCTTAAAGATCATTTTGTTCCACCCTCTGCCATGGCCAGGGACACCTTCCACTATCCCAGGTTGCTGCAAGCCGCATCCAGCCTGGTATTGAACAATTGACTACTTCTCATTTTCATGTTCAGGTGTGAAAGGTAGGACTTTGATCCCAAACATTGATGTGAAGGCTCTTAATGTTGAAAAACATGCAAGCTGTCGTTTTTCAGCCTTTGTGTGTTCTGTTTGATGCATGAGTTGCCATCAGTGGTGCTGGCATCAAGGTGAGCAGGAGTGTGTGGGCTGAGACAAGCTCTGCTGCTCCTCTGTCAGACCAGATGAGCACGAGCTGGGATATGCTGCTTTTGGCCAGGGTACAATTAGCTTTCTCACAATGACTGATTTAGGGCTGCGTTTTGGATTTGTGCTGAACACAGCGTTGATAAAATAGAGGTGTTTCTTTTATTGCTGAACAGGACTTGCACAGACCCATGCTTGGGAAGGAGCTGGGGGTGTGTGGGAGGTTGGGAGGGGACACAGCCAGGACAGGTGACCCCAACTGGCCCAAGGGCTATTCCAGTCCATATGATATCATAATTAGTATATAAAGTGGGGGAAGAAGGAGGAAGGGGAGACATTTGGAGTGATGACATTTGTTTTCCCCAGTCACAGTTAGATATGATGAGGCCTTGTTCTGGAGGTGGCTGAAAGACCTGCCTGCCCATGGAAGCAGGGATTTAATTTCTTAGGCAAAAGCTTTTGCCTTCCCTGTTAAGATGTCTGTCTCAACTCGAGTTCTGCAGCTTTTGTGCTTCCAGTTCTCTCCCCAGTCCCGCTGGTGGGGGAGGGAACAAGCGCTGCGAGGTTCTTGGCTGCTGGATGGGGTTATCCCACCACATGGGGCCTGGTTTATTTTATTAAATGTGCTTGCTGCAGCTGTTCTGTGTGCTGTCTCTACCTGTACAGAGCACACGGGCTCTGCATTAGCTAGATAATGAACTCTGCACATCCTGAGATTACGTGCAGCTGAAATAGGCTTCTGCTGTCCGGCAGCAAGGGCACAGATGGGGCTTAGTACCTGAGCTCCTGGAGGGCTCGTGCCCTTCACTCTGCAGCTCTTCTGTCAGCTGCGAGCGCTCTCCTGCTTCTCCAGGGGCTCTGTGGGGCAGAGCAGGGGCAGGAGCAGCGGGACCCTGCCACGTGCACAGTGACAGTGTCCCTCTGCTGTGTGAGGCTGTGCTGTGTCTCCTGCCCGCCCCAGGCTGCCCGTGGGCAGCAGCAGGGTTCCCCTCCCTGTGGATGCCCGGGCAGTGAAGGTGACCTCGGCTGGGTGGCAGGTGCCAGGGAGGCTCCCTGGTGCCAGAGCTGTTCCACATGAGCCTCTTGGTGTCCTCCTGGCCTGTCCCTGCCCGCTGGCCCTGGCAGGGAGCAGCTGGGCAGGTGGCAAGGAAGCTCTTCCCATTACGCTGATGAATTTCTAAAGGAGCAAATGCCTTCACTGACGTACCAGTTCCTGTTTCAGCTGCAACAGTCCGTGCTGTACGGGATCAGCCAGCCTGAGTTTCTTTATGAAGTGTATTTCCTGTGTGCTCTCTGCAGCTAAAGAAATGAATTGTAGCAAATTACTAGTTTGGCTTCCCTTGTGAGTGATGGCTTGCTCTGTTTTGATGCACGCCAATAACCTGAGCCTTTTACTCATGTGGAAAACAGTCCTTTCCAAAGGCAGAAACCCTCAGTGCAGGATTTGTCATAGGAATGCTTGGATGAGGGAGTTTGAGAGCTCCAGTGTTGGAGAACGTAGCTGCCAGCCTGCTCAAGTCAGCTGGATTCTGGTGCCTTGAGAGCTGGAGACAGTTCCAAACCTCATCCAGCGGGCCAGAGATGGGGATCCCAGCTGCCACCCTTTCCTTCCTCCTGCAAGAGGAAGGCATGGGAAGGAAGGACTTCACCAGCTGGCTGCTAGCAGCAGCTTCTCTGCGTTTCCCCCAGGGAGGGATGGCTGGAGAAACACTGATTTAGTGATGCTCAATTACAGCCTGCTGTTAATTGCTTTATGATTAGAAAACAATCCTCAGAATAAGCTGAGGATTGAGCATACTTGGGGTGCTGCAGCCTCCAAAGATAAAATTGTCTTCTGCACTCTGCTGCTGCTGCTCAGTCTGGATTTATGAATGGCTTTATTTGATCCAAAACTTCATTTTTTAAATTATGAGCAAGCACATGGCTTCAGGGGAGGTGCCTTGGCTCTCCTTTGGACACCCAGTTTAGCACTCAGGCTGTCCTGAGTCAGCCCACGGGTTTTGTGTTAGTTACACATGCTAGCTGCTCCGTGCTGAAGCGGGTTTTTAAATGTAAATTTCTGAAGCATCCAGGGATGAAGTGCTCTCCCCTGGGTGGCCATGCCCCTCGAGCCGGGCTGCAGAGCTGGGCAGGCGCAGGTGCCCACCCGGGCACAGGGACCGAGCTTCCAGCGTTCCATGGCTGCTTGCTCTGTTGCTGGCAGCCCTGGCTTTCTGCTCCCACAGAATCCCTGATATTGGCCCTCAGGTAGTTCCCGGAGCAGCTGAGGTTGGCCTCAGCCCCTGTCTCCATGGAGGAGCCCCATCTGCCCTGGCAATGGCAGGACCCTTCCCTGGGACCTGTTTGGCGTGGTACTTCTGGTGTGGTTCTTTCTTCCCCCAGTGAGGAATCCCAAAGAATCCAGCCACTCGAGGGCTTGCTGTTACCTCCTCAGCCAGGAAATGCATTTTTTCCTGTTTAGACAAGATCTTCTCTAAAGGGTCAGTGCTTTCAAAGCCACTTGAGGGATATTGTTCCAGGTCCCTGGGCCTCAGGAAGGCTTTCCTAGGTGTAAGGTGATAAACCAGCAAGTGAGATTGTTGTGTGTTTTTGAAAGTCTCTCTGTTCATCAGAAGACAAATAGATTCTCCTGCAAGATTAGGTATGAATTTATACTCTGTTGGCTGCAGGTAATGGAGCCCTGGGGTAAGACCTCCCAGTTTCTGCCCAATGCTGAAAGAGTGTGTGAAACCTGATTGCAGCCCTTCTTTGGAATACAGCTTTTGGGACAGATGTTCCTGGGTACTGAATCAGCTCTTTGCATTCTGCATTGTGTGGGCAATGCTGAGGATCATTCTGGATGCTGAGTCTGAGCGAATCAGTGTCACTTTGGGTCCCTGCCTGCAGAAGCAGTGCTGCTGCCATGTCAGCAGCTTTGGAGATGTGATCCTCTTCCTGTGATTGGTGTTCTTGGTTCACTGTGCTCTGTAAGTCACAAACCTCAACTGGGGGTGGTTTGAAGGTTTCTGATCTGCTCTTGTGTGGTGCTAATGCTGTGTGCCAGGAGCACAGATCCAAGCTGGTGTCTCCTGCACTTCCAGCTGAGCTGGAGGTGATGTGGTTGGTGTGGCACAGACTTAGGGCTGGTCATGTCCTTGTGCTGCTGGAGCTGCACTGCGCTGGGAGCAGCTGCAGTGGTGCTTCTGCAGCTGCTCAGGGGGAGTGGAGGTGTCCATGCCACTCTCCCTTGGTTCTGTTCTTCACTTGAAGGAAGAGGATTTTCCCCTTGGACTCTTCCAGGTCTTCCATGCTGTAACCTGGCCTCCAGGGCCAGTGCAAGTCCCTCCTGCATGCAGGGTGCTGGTGAGGACACCCCTAGTTTTTGTCAGGCATGTTGCTCTCCAAGAGTTGCCCCTTTCCCAGGTCATCAGCCCTGAGCTCAGGGCAGTGGTGGCTGCTGCAGGGGCTGGTGCCAGCAGTGCAGCCAGGCACTGTGTCTGGGTTACTGCAGCCAGGCACTGCAGCTGGGCCCTGCAGCTGGGAATTGCAGCCAGGCACTGTGTCTGGGTTACTGCAGCTGTGTTCCTGCAGCTGTGTTCCTGCAGCCGGGCACTGCAGTCAGGCACTGCGGCCGGGCACTGCAGCCACAGTCAGCAGCTTGAGCTCTTACAGGTAGTTAGAAAAGCTTCTGTAGGGCTGCTCTCAAGGGGAGAATAATCCTATTTTGTAGATTGTGTTCAGAAAGTGGAGGCAGATGTTCTTCACGTGGCGCGCTCCGTGGGGACTTGTGGCGGATTAACCTACAGTAACCCACCCGAACAGGGACTCCAGAGGCTTTAAGCCACACTGGTGATTTATTATCATCACTGACATTCATATCTTGTTGGTGTTGGGGAAAATTCCCACTGTTACTTTAGGTTTGTTGGCCTGGCAGCTTTCTTCCCGAGCTGCAGCCGCTGCTGGAGGTGCCTGCTGGGCCAGCTGGGCCAGGAGAATTCCTGGCTATATTTAGAGGGAAGCCCAGCGTGTGCCTTGCCGCTCTGTCACAGTAACCTCTCCCTCTCTGGCTTTCTTCAAGGTAACAGAAGACGAGCACAGCTGTTCTCCTAGAGGGTCACCGAGTCTGCAGCGCCGGACGCTCCCGGAGCAGCGGGGCCGCGTGCAGGGCACGAGCAGGAGGCTCCTGGCAGAGCGCTGGCCTGCCACCGGCACAGGTGACAGGCACCGGGACTGGGCCTGGAGCTCTGCTGTGGGAGGCAGGGAGGGCTGAAGGACATCCTACCTAGAACGAGAATCTGACCAGTCGGACAGCAATGAGCTAGGAGAACAGCCAAAACCACAACTCGGAATGTATTTATTACTTCAAAGTTAGCTATTCTTGATAAAATTCCCCAGATTATTGCTGCTGCTTATTTTACTTACAGATTTCACACACTTGTTAATTTTAAAGCTACCAAACTTTTATTCAATACTGTACTCTGAGAAATGTAATTGGGTCAGGACATGCAATAGAATGAAATCATTGTAGTGTCTTAAGTACAATGGACTCGCTTTGTGTCTATTAAACCTTGGAAGATGTGCAACACACAGCGGTGTGGCTCTCATTGCATGCTGAAGCTTTCTTGTGTTGTTTACTGCAGAGCAGGAGAATCGGTGGTTCCAGGTACATGAACAAGCAGTGCTGGGGACTTGGATGTCCTTGGGTCCTACCCCTGTGCTTTCCCAAGTCTCCTGGAGGAGCAGCACAGCCTGGGCCTGGCCCTGCTGCCTGCAGAGGGGTGGTGCTGAGCTGCTGGCTGCAGCCAGGGAGGGAATCCGTGTTCAGAACTGAACATGAACATGCACGTGAGCATGAAGCTGTATGTTCACACTCTGTGAGTCTGATTTAAGGCCCTTTGAACATCTTGACAAAGGAGTCCTCTCTTTACCCTCAACCAAGGGGTGATGCACAGTTCTAAACCAGCAACCAAACAGCTTTTTTTGCCAAATTCAAACTGTTCACAAACTGAAGTATGGACAGGATTTTGGAACTGTATCAGTTCATTTTCTGGGCTTGTGTTAGTCTGCCCTTTCCTTGGATTCCCTCGGTCCAGAGACATTAATTTGAGGTGATCTACTGCTTCTGGTGCTGGAGAAGGCAGTTCAGAGTGTCCCTGCTCAGTACAGTGTTGCCTGGCTGTGGGAGGTTGCCTCGGAGCTGCAGGATCTCTGCTCTGATCCTGTTCCTGCCAGCTGGATGTGCTGCAGCAAACAGGGATGAGCGAGTGGGTCGGAAATGACACAGGCTGATGTTTTCCTGGTTTGTGCTGGTTCACACTGTGGTCTTTGAATGTCAGCAAGAGAAGTCAGAGCTTCCCGTTTCAGCAGCTAAGTGTCACAAGGGGGGTCAGCACAAAACCCTTCTGCTGAGCCTCAGCCCAGCCCTCACTAGGTGAGATCTGCATCCCCCAGAACAGCGGGAAGGCTGTGGTGTAGAACAGGAGATGTTGAACCAGGACAGCTGTTTCCCAAGGCCCATTTCGGTCACCTCTGCAAATCAATGAGCTTCCTGTTTTCCAAAAATAAGTGCAAGAAGGACAGCAGTATCTAGCAGGAGATGTGTTCCTGCACCTTGTGTGAAGCCTTTGTGCAGTGGGTGTTTACCCAGGCTGGCAGAGCTGCTCCTGTGCTGGGCGTGCTCCTGCTCCAGGAGGAACAGCCTTGCCTTTCTTAGCTCCTGCTGTCTGGCCTCAGGGGTTCTTTGTGAGGTTTTTTCTAGCATCTTCTCGAGCTAGGCCTGGGCTGACCTGATGGCTGTGAGGTGGTTTTTGTGTTTTCTGCTCACACAGTTGTGCATTGTACAAAATCCCTGCCCAAAAGTGCTGCCAAGTGTTTGGCTGTAGCATTACAGCAAGGAGCTGCAGGGAGGTACAAGCAGCCTTCTGTTCACTTAAAAAATAATTTTAAAAGGCAAACAAGACTAACCAGGACACTGCTCCCAGGAAAAGCACTTGTCTGCTTCTATCTCCAGTGAAGGGCTGCTCCATCACACATGTGGAAAGGCTGCTCCAAGGCTGAAGGAGATGCCAAGGACAGTAGGTGAGTGCTGGCCACGTTCCTGAGCAGGCAGCCCATGGCACTTGGGCCCCATGAGCAGGCAGGAGCATTCTTCAGACCAGCTGTTCAGTCTCCGCTGGGTGTGAGGGAATTGTGTGATACCTCACACGTGGGGCCGCTGATTTTCTCTGGGCTTGGGTCATGAGATGGCTTGGGAGGGTTTGCTCAGGGCCAGTGTCCATCCTGTAATGCTGGAGTGGTGCCCAGGGTGGAGTTGTTTAAGGGGATGTCCAGCTGTTCCCCACTGTGTGCAGCAGAGCCCCTGGTGCACATCAGCCCTGCCAGCTGTGTCACAGCACAGTGGGGGCTGCTGCCCTTGCATCTGCCCCTTGGATGGGCACAGACTGGCACTGGCAGCGCTCTGCTGCTGTGGGCTGATGGTTCTGAGTCCTGTGTCCCTGCCAGAAACCTTCCCTGGCCTCCCTTGCAGGCTGAAGTGGCCAGGCAGGTCCAGCTGTCCTTGCACCTGGGTGTGTGACATTCCTGACATTGCTGTGCCCTGTGGAGAGCAAACAATGGGCTGTTCCTGCCCTGGGCTCTGCGAGGGGAAATGCCAGTGCCAGCAGGAGGGAGGTTCCAAAGCTGCTTTGGTGCCCTTTGTGCCAGGGGCTGGGCAGGGACCCTCCTCCAGAGAGCACTGAAAATTGGTGTGGCAGGTCTCCTTGTTTTTCCTGTGTCCCTTGTGATGCCCATTGGTCTGACAGCTGTCTCTCTGTCTGTCTGTCTGTCTGTCTGTTCTAACACCCGCTTAAAGAACAAAAGAGAGGAGTGACATTTCAGTGCTGCAGGTGAGTCACGGGATTTTTGACACTTTCCTGAGATCTGCCACAGACAGTTGCAGCACAAACATGGTAACAGAGGAAATGGTGCTTGGGAGGCAGGGCAGTGCAGGGGACAAGGATCCTGCTAGGACTCAGCAGCTCAGTGCCAGAGGTGGGTTAAGCCCAGCCTTACACAGCACCAAGCCACAGCCCAGCTGTGGGGCTGTG